GTGGAGCCGGCGGGGCAGGCACTGACCTGGGCAGAGGGCCCAGTGAGCAGGGATGCTGCTTTGTATCCCGACGACCCCCTCGGCTTTGCCCAGTGGCACTGGGCCTTGCTAAAGCTGTCACCTCAGCAAAACGTTTCCTGCCAGCCAGTTTGAAATACGCCTTTTGGTGTTAACAGCAATGCCGATCTTGATGCCTTTCTCCGTGCGTGTTTGGCTTATGGTCACCCTGCAGGCTTCTAGAGCGCTGAGCAAAACGTGTTGGGTTTTTTCCCAGAAGCTTGAGCATGCTCCCAGAGGTGCAGAGTGTTGAGCCTGCCTTTGCAGGTTCTGCTGTTCAGACTATGGAAGCCAACTGTTTGGGGGGGCCGTAGCTAGGTGGAAATTACTCAGGGTGTTATGGCTGTAAAGGTCCTTACTCCTAATGTGCATGTCATGTTTGATACAGTGAGTCTTCTGGTCCTGAGAGAAAAGCAATTTTATTTAGACCATAGCCTTTTTTCAGAAGGAACATATTATTGTAAACATATTTTGTGGCCACAGACAATACAGATTGGGAAGATTAGTTTGTTGGTTCACAAGAAATAGTATTCTCTCTTCAAACTTCCAGTTGAAAGCCCTGTTTGTCTGCGTCCAATTCCCAAAGACCTTATTTCCCTTGTCATCTGTGTACATCTCTGCTTGAGAGAGGCTGTGGATGCTTTAAGAGCAAGCCAAACAGATTCTCTAAGTCTCTTAGCACTTAACCCAAGTTTGATGGGGAGTAAGTAAAAGATGTGACTGCTGCAAGTTTGGACATTTAGTATCTTGGAAGATTCTTACCTTTTCTTACTCTAAAAATAAGAGAACATGAAAGAAAGATGTGGGCCATCATTTTCATGTTAGGTATGTAAAACAAAGCATAAGGTGACCTTAATAGCAGGCATCGTTGCCAGCCTTTCCCTTAATAAACACTTTCAGGTTTGCCCCACCCTTATACTACAGCCTTGATCTTCCTTGATCCTGAGGACAGGCCCTTTTTCTTTCCTTCATAGGTTTGATTATAGGATCAGGACACAATCATCTAGCCGAGTGAGCTCCAGAAGATGGCAGGGATTGGCTCCATGACTCAGAAGCCAGGCAAAACCATTTCATCTGCTCAGCAGGCAATTACACAAATTGCTGGGCAGAATCTGGGTAGACAGTCACTGTTTTTCGCAACTGCCTCTTACTGGAAATGTCTTCTGTGGGACAGGTGAAATTTCCCGTGCTGCTTATTCTCACCACAGCAGAGTATACTTCTGCGGCTGGCTGAGCTGCAAAGGTATTAATTACATCGGGTGTTGCAGCGCTTTTGTCTCTGACTGACTGTGTGTTGGAACTGGGCTCCTTTGAGAGAAGCGAGCCTTTTTATCTTAATTGCTTCTTTTGAGTGAAGAGAATGAATTTCTGTGGCTTGGACTTCTTATACCTCAGCTGAGACTCTTCTGGTCTTTCAGGGAGGAAGCTGCTGCTGCTTCTATAA